TACAGAAAGAAAGGAAAGAGTGAGGAAAAGAATTAGACAGGCATGAGCATCACAAAACAACATTCACTTCGTGATAAGAGTATAAAAAATATCATGTTTTATATTTCTTTGTCGATGTAACAAACATATTTTTAAGGTGACGAAACATCTTTATAAAGGGATATCTTGATGCATTCAGATGGAGAATAACATTGTCGACAGGTTATAAATGAAAGTCACGAATAACCGGATTTTTGACAGGTAATACGTCATAAACATTCAGATTGTCGACAAGTTAGACGTCAAACAAAAAGTAAAATTTAAGTCTCCATGCAATACAGAAATTCCTATGACACAACTGTTTTTTAATTAAAAATGTTTCTTTATTTTTCCTTGTACACATTAAATATGTTATCTTTCTTTGGAACAAATTCAATAATGCAATAATCCTGAACATACATTTAAAGGTGTCTTTAGTCTTATTTCTGAATTAATGCAAGCGACTGATACAAGACTTCCCCTGTGGCGAATCACCCACATTCTTGGATTATATCACTCCGTGGAACATCCCGTGTGCGCACATGTTTTTACACGTAAGCCTGGCCATACATCATGCATGGCAATATCATCAGCGAGCAACCAATGTCAATGACAATGACAACTTTAGGGTAAATGCTTTGTTAATTTAAGTAAACGCTAGACTGGCTGCCTTTGTCCTCTACATACAATGAGGCATCTACAGATAACTAAATACTAAACTAGTGTGTGTAGACTTTCCCACCAGCGCACTTCTACGAGTATTATGGCGAAACTGGCATGCAGACTAGGTTTTGTGTAGGTTTTGCAACACAATCAATTGTAATCAAATCTTAACCTAGATGAAGGTAAAATAGTCCCAATATGTAAGATAATCTGCAAATTAATTAACACTTAAGCATCGTTAAGGCAGGTTCCTAAAACACCTGGGAAATAATTACAGCAAGTTTCATCATCTACTTACACTTTGTTGATAAGTGTTAACATAAACATGCTTTCCACACTCAACTTCCACGGCTTATGACCGAGTACCAATGCCAAGAAACGGGCAATCTGAACACATCATTCTTATTCGAGAATCAAATTACACATAAATTTGGATGTAATGAATGCAATAAAAACATAACAGAGTATACAGAACCTTCCTTGATTATACTACAATAATACTAGCGCAAATTACAACACACCTTCAATTTCTAAGGCCAAAATGAAGAAAACTGGGGTCAATCTTGTGGTTGATGTACCTCAAGTAGATCATATTTGTGTGTGTGTGTGTGTGTGTGTGTGTGTGTGTATTTGGTTTTTACAGACGTGTATCAATCAGATATGATTATTTACGTCTGGAGACCGACCTTTAACGTCACCATCCGAAAGACGTGACTCAGTTTCGAACCTGCGTCCTCGGCTGAATCAGTTTATAACTTCCACTGTTAGCTGGATTACAGGCGCACGCCACAACGCCACAAAGCGTTTAGTCTTTGTTCAAGAGCTTAAAATAATTATTTAAACTGCAGGGTGTTATTTCATGTCAATCCCTGACACGCACCCTTTACGAATTATATTGTACACTGCACCTATGATTTTGATACACGTCGGACGTATTCTTTGTTGAGCAGGCAGTCAGCTCGAATTTGGAAGCTTTTGGCGGTGTGCGTGAGGCGAAAAATGGACCAAAGATTCAGCTTTAAAAGTAACAACTTTCCATATTCAGCGCCATATTCCAATTATCCACAGGTTACGACAGCTGCCCTCTATTGATGTTTTCGAGATAGCCCCTCATACCAGAGTCCCGTCTTACAAAGAGTTGATATCAATCGATATAAACGTAAGAGGTAGGAGACTGCAAACTTGCGATTGATTGGAGGAACTGCGATTGATTTTGATCAATCGTAACTCTTTGTAAGACGGGGCCAGGTCAGGTAACCCCTTTTGCAGTGTGTGTGCGCGCGTGTTGTGTGTGTGTATTGGGTTTATACTATTTTAACAATAACAATTTCTTATTGAAAAAAGAAAGATTTTTGATGAGGAGTTCTTTACACGCAATATAATTTCAATTCAAGATATTTTTGCTGAACATGGCATGCGGTAAATATCTCATTTTCAACATTTGAGGTTTTTTACATTCTGTAACGGTTAACTCCATAATTTAGCCCAGCTTGCTTTCAATTCATTTCCTTAAAGGTACTGTGTCCCTTTTGCAGCCAACATCAAATTCTGTAGAACTTTGTAGGAATTATGAATATGTCATGTATGTCCTATATGTGAAATTTATACATATTAAATCAGTGTCCTAGTATTAAAATTATGCAAGGAAACACGTTAACCTTCTAGACTTTACTATCAGACACTATTGAGTGACAGACTGACATCTTTGTATTTTTGGTAATAACATACATAAAATGAGCTGTACAGTTACATAAGCATATGTCTACATCGATAACCCACTACGTGTAATGGCCAAAAGTAAATTGATTGAATCTTTTTTACAGCACAAAACGTACGATCATTCGGTAAAAAAGGTCTAAAAATCAGACTATTACTTAGGTGATTGCAATCACTTAAGTCGATTTGACACTTAAGTCCATTTTCAAGCCCTTTCGTTTTGAAGGAAGATCTCAATGGTTAATGTCTTTCAAATGCTGTTGGAATTTAACCTATTCATTTTGGGGGGCATGGAAATGGAACATAGCTCCGTTATTAGAGGGTGCGTCACGCCAAAGAACGAATACAAATTTATTTTTTAAAGAAATATCCTCCAGGCAAAAATATTCTAATATCGAATAGTCTTTTTCTAATATATTCAAGGTTGGTCAATTCTCTTGACGCAAAAGGAATCAATAAATAATTTAGAACTTTAATAGAGAGCACCTTTTAGATGTAAATATAAATTGATATGCGCAGAGAAGTGGATTTTTTAAAATTATTTGTATTATAGGTCAAAGGGAATATCACGCATCAATGTAATAACCTTGGAATGATTATATGCTGATACTCTGCAATCTTGTTTTATTTTTTATTTTTTTATCACAGCTCATAAAACCAAGCAGTTCATACAAAAACAGAAATGATTTCATTCTGACTTACCAGTATCCTACACGGTTATCATAACTTGCACCAGCAGTTGAAAACTTTTTTTTTTAAAGCATGCACGGCTCTTTATCTTGCCATGAATATATATGAAGAGTAGTTTATAGAAAAGAGAAAAACATGTAGCCGTGGAAGAATGCTTTCTTTATTTCTTTCTATTTATTATTCTTGTTACAACATTTTGAAGTCCAGAGTACCTAACAAATGTAATGAACTTTATCTGAAAAAGAGGAAATTTGTAATGTGCAGATCCAGGTCATGTTTCAATATTTCCATCTTCTTATTACTGAAAATGAGGACCAGTCGGAACTCATTGGTATATTGAAAATAGCTCTTGAATCTCGTATGAGAAGTTATTGCATGGTGCTTACACCCTCAGACGTATGGAAATCTTGGTATAAATCCTCCGAGGAACTTGGAGAGAAACTTGGAGAGACACTTGATATAGAATTTTGAATGGGTCACTGAACCTGTCATAAACTGACAGATCACTATTGATGATCCTCCATTTAAAACGTATATACTGAGCTCTTATGCACCGTAAATGCCTAAATCTAGAAAGCTTTTATTTAAGAATATACCACGCACAGGCATAAGCGTTAATCCTTTTTTGGTTAATTAACATAATCTTGAGTACTAATAATATATATATTTATGCTTACATTCAATTAGTCTCTGAGTAGATTGTGCATATTAAAATCAGACTTTTCAAGAAATACATCAGAGTATATGAATATACGTATACAGTCAACAACTAAAGCATTCGTACCTCCATTCAAAATGATTATACTGAGCTCTTATGCACCCTAAATGCCTAAATCTAGAATGCTTAGTTTTAAGAATATAGAACGCACAAACAAAACCGTTAATCCTTTTCGGTTATTTAAAATAATCTTGAGTACTAATCATATATATAATGATGCTTAAATTCAATAAGTCTCTGAGTAGATTGTGCATATTAAAATCAGACTTTTCAAGAAATACATATGTCAGAGTATATAATATATGAATATACCTATACAGTCAACAACTAAATCATTCGTACCCTCCATTCAAAATGTTTATACTGAGCTCTTATGCACCTTAAATGCCTAAATCTAGAATGCTTATTTCTAAGAATATAGAACGCACAAACAAAACCGTTAATCCTTTTCGATTATTTAAAATAATCTTGAGTACTAATCATATATATAATTATGCTTACATGAAATTAGTCTCTGCGTAGATGGTGCATATTAAAATAAGGCTTTGCAAGAAATACATATGTCAGAGTACTATATACTATATGAATATACCATACAGTCAACAACTTAAGCATTCGTACCCTTACAAAAAATTGTATTTTGTTAAGTATGTGAAAGATTGATTCGTCCGGTTAACGTTTCTTGAGAATGTGACATATTAAAGCTTACAATCTGAAAGCATTCGACAAAGACTGTCATTCAACCAGTCCACCTTTCATTCTTCAGTTAAAAAAACAGGGGGAGGGGACCCTTCAAATTTGCAACGGGTTTCAATAAGTTATCAACTGTATGACAGGAGTTTAAAGATACTATGTCCCGTTTGCAGCCAACATCAAATTCTGTAGACTTTTGCAGGAATTATAAATATGTCATGTATGCCCTATCTGTGAAATTTAAACGTTAGCAGTGTCCTAATATTCAAAGTATGCAAGGAAACCCGTTTACTTGCCAGACATTACTGTCAGACACTATTTAGTGACTAACTGGCTTTTTTCTTCTTTGGTAATAACATACATAAAATGAGCTGTAAGGAGCATTTGTCTACATCAATAACCCACCTCTTGTAATGGCCAAAATTAAACTGGTTGGATATTTGCGCAGCATAAAACGTACGACCATTCGGTACAATGGTCTGAAAATCAGGCTATTACTTACCGGCTCTATAGCTCATAGTCGTTATTTTCCCACTTAAAAACATTTCAAGCCCCCTCCCCCCCCCCCTTTTTTTTTTAGGGAAGTTCTAGATATGTATTATCTTTCAAATGCCGTTGGAATTTAACCTTTTAATTGTTGGCCTGCAAATGAGACGTAGTACCTGTAAACAGCAAGATGAACTTTGATTTAAGCTACGCAACCGTTATGCTCTCATTTCCTTCTACTTTGTATATATAAATATATAACTATATATAGATAGATAGATATGTGTGCACCGGTCAAACTCAGTGCATTAGCTTTTAAATGTAATGTATACCAGTGAAATATTATCACATTACATTGAATCATGATTATACATATCAAAAATCTTTATGATTACTTTTAAACAAAAAATCAATATGTTTCTAATGGTTACAGTATGAGGTAAATAGAAGTAATACAAAGTATACCTTACCTATGACGGTTATGCTATGTGATTGATTGTGTACATCTAACCAAAGTTCCATCTTTTCTCACCATTTCAAAAAGCATTTGTACATGTAGAGCTGCTGTATTTACAAGTTTCATCATAGAGTATACTACCTATATTTATTTTTGTTTATCGTTCACAATCTTTAACGACAAGACGTATCTACAGTAACTGGGAAACGAAGTATGAAGTACTACCTTTTTAAAATAATCTCTCACAATCTTAAACGAAAGGACGTTTCTAGAGAAAATCCTGAATATATGTCCTATTAAACGCGTTTATACTGAGCTTTTATGCAAAACCTTTAATACATAAATCTAGATATAAATTTTGTTATATATTAGAGAACGCATAAGCAAACGTGGTAGTAAAAACAAAGCACACCATCATTTAGATTCAATTAAAATAATCTTGCGTAATAATCACACGTATGCTCCATATTAAATTATTCTTTAAGAAAATTGCAGAAATGCAGAATTTCATACAAAGTAAATAAAAACATAGTAAATATTGATTTAATATATTCAAATTGAACATTAAGAAATGCTTCAAATCAGAGATATGATGCATTGAACTAAAGTTAAATCTTGCAGGTTCAAATAATTAAACATAAAAGTGAATTACAAAGCAAATGGAAAATATAAAGAACGATTAACATGGTCAAAGAATTACGTTGTTCTTCAAAATGTATATATATTTTCAGAACAGAGAAAGATAACTAAAAGAGAGAGAAAAAGGAGGTAAAACATAAAAGGCAGACGGTTAGAGAGGTAGGAAGAGTGATAAGAGTAGAGAAATGGAAAGGGGAGAGCTAGAGAAGTACTACTAGATTTTGTATTCTTCTTCTTCTTAGGTCTTAATATCTTCATAAACATCTCCATTGTCAGCATGTCGTGGCGTTTCGTATGTTTCACCCTGATCTCGTGAAGATCTCTCTGGTAGCTTGGGAGGGACAACGTTAAGTTCCAAGCAACCTTCCTCACCATGTTGTGGTCCGTTGTAACAGTTTTGTTTCGCTGTCCCTTGCTGCTGACTACTAGCCTGATTCGCTGATCTCCTGTAGTTGTAGAGAACCCAATTAAACATGACAGTAAAAATATAAATTATTTCCTCAAGGCAATTAACAGAGACAAGAAGATGAAAGTAAAAGAGAGTTAGCATTTTCTCTAGTTACCTATATATTAATATGATAAAATATAAAGTTAATGACATTGAAATTGTGGAAGAAACTGTCTGGCAGCAATTTAAATAAGGCCTTAAAAAAAACGTTGTATTGCCCTTTTCGACCGACCCCAAAACTTTTTATTCATGACAATTCTTTACTTCTCTTATGTCTTTGCTTAGAGAAAAGTCTTAGCAAAAATGCGTATTCTATAAAAGCATTGGGGGCTAAGTAATTTCCCCTAGGAGGTAGTTGATATTTTCAGATTTTATCTAATTAAGAGAAAGTGCTTAACTAGCTTGTCGTTTTCTTGTACAAATGAGATACCTCAGATACGTAAGAATTCTACCCTACATGTAAGGATACTTCTGAGGCTGTTTGGATAGGGACTATTTCGGGAGTGCCACGCAGTGTCGCTTCGGGTTTCGATCAAATGGAATAAAAATAAAACGTACAAAATGCAGCTCAGGTTATCAGTTTGCATGCATGTAATGCAAATAGCGCTATGATAGCTAATCTAGGCATAGCCTGAATATAGCCTTCAGGACTATACTTCTAAATTTTGAACATAATGTCGCAAAGAAATTATCTCATGGTCCTTGGAATGCAAATGTGTAAACAGGGAATGATGTGTTATCGGCATAATATTCGATGAGACAAATCTTGTGCATTATTATGAGTCTGAAAAAGGTTACATTTAGCAATTTGATTCAGTTTAGGCTAGCAGGTGATGATGTAAACGGTAGCGTAAATAACAAGAACTGGCCGGCCGTTTCAAGATCTACCTTCATGGACTTTAACCGCAGCATAATATAGCCATGTGGGGCTTTCCGAAGTCGTTTGATAGAAAAGTATTGGTAGTCTAGAGTTGATGTTGGATCTAGATCATGGAGTTTTTTACTAATAAATCTTTGAAGTATATTGAATACGGGCAAAGACTTTTATGCAATTTCTCGTACTGTTTCGAAAATAAGAGTTATTGAAGGGCAATCCCTTTCAGGTGACATACATCCTGTGATATTCTTCCAAACTGACATCAAAAGAACGGCCAAATCTCACAAATTGTTGTTTCCAATTTCCAGAACTCAACCTTCTATTTCAGTCTAAAAATAAAAAGCTAAATGAAATCTCAATGTAAAGTGCTTTGCTGTGAGGCATACCTGTACTTCCGCACCATTACTGTCATGACGATACAACCCAAAAGGATGCCAATAACTGCAACGGAGAGGAATCCAATTAAACCTGGGTAAGAAATAATATTGGAATTTTTAAATAAAATAAGCAGCCGCAAATATAAAATCAAATTTAATAAATTAAGGTAAACATTTTGAAGGTTAATAGTAACTTGCAACTTAACTTACCAAATGTGGCAGGCTGGGATAGACCTATTTCACTGCCATTCGGTGTCATGGTTGTAGAGGATTCCTGTTCCACTTCTGTAAATTCAATAAATGAATATAAATTAGGCCTATAGTTACATGTATATCATTAATTAATAACTATACAACTCACTCCCATATCATCAAATGATTGGTGAAACGCGGTTACGTGTGCTTCGTTTGCCGCCGCGGCCGTGGGGTCTAAAATATATACGGCCAATAGCAATTATAGGGCTGCCGCAGCATTCCCACGGTCACATTATTCACAAACGCAGTCACAAGTGTTAGGGTAGTCTACAATATTGCCTATTTAATTTTGATCTCCACCATACCAACTTGCTACTTGCTGCTAGCCGAAGATGGCGTGATCATAACATAAGGAGGCGAAAAAATGCTTAGTGCTTTGGCTGGGCTGGTGGCGTCTTATTTTTTCTTACCCTAGCGCTATAGCGAGCCCAGATTTAGCTCGCGAAAAAAACATGCGCATGCGCACTTGCGAAGGAAACTAGCGCATGCGCACATGGAATCCGGAAGGGTTGTTAATAGGGTGATAGTAATTATACAAATCAACTTTTCATCATCCCATCGTTAGCTCAAACGGTAAGGACAGCGTATTATTAATAGAACCTTGGAGTTGTCTCGAAGGTACGAATCTCAATATTATTATTTTTTTTTTTTGCCTTTATAAATAGTGAGGCAAAGCAATAAATAATCAAAGTCTAATTTTGAGTGACATCTTTGCAAGCTTTCGTAGCTTGTTATGTCTGAAAAAGAGTTCATACCGGAATCTGGGTTCGCTGTGGTACGAAAGAATAATACGCGGGCTGGTGACCGTATATATGAGTACGTTGATAACGCCATCTTCAGCGGCTTGAATCAATTACATTATTGCAGGGAATATAATATGAAGAACAGGCTGCCGTACGGTCTTTGAAGTGATGACGCATGGTCGTCTTAGGGCGTCCCTGCGGCGGCCGTAGGTTTTTGATAATTACCAAGGCAGACGCAAGGTAGCCGCAATGCCACCGTTGCCGTGGAAACCGCTCTACGGCATGGCTACGGTGTGACGAATGGTCTTATTGCGAACCTGGAAATGAACAAAATTATAACTCCGCGCTATAATCCCACGGCGACCCCTACGGCCTGTGAAAAGTAGGGATACTCCCTAGGGTGACACTGAGGCGACCGCCTCAGGTTTCTTTCGATTTCGGGAGCCTACGGCCGCCGTGTCCCAACCGTAGAGCAAATGGGACGTGAGTCACGTGACTATCCTATTTTGCTTTCATTAAAAAAAGCGTGCAATAGTTTCCAATACAACAACCTATCCAATGAGGCTTCAGTACGCGAAGCACAGGTGAACCGAACTTGAATTAAATTGAAGGTAAAATCTGTATATTGTGTTGGCTTTTTTTACGGCCATTTTCGCGAGTTTTACATCTAACATTGCATTTAAAACGCGTGAAAACGTTTGCAAAATTATTTCCCCAGTTAAATGTACATGTAGAGTCAATGGTGTGGGAATGAGGAATCAAAACCAAAAGACGGAATGAAGTAAGTAAGTACAGTGGCGCTAGAGTACGCTAGGGCCCTGAATTAAAGAGAATCAATACCTTCATACTAATTAACTTTGAATTTACCTTACTTGCAATGCAAGAGTTTTGGAGGTTTGCATTGCGAAACAGGTAGAACAATGTAAAGTTTACAGAAGTGTATTGTAGGTAGTCCTTACAAGGACTGTTGTGGACTGAAAGAAGGGTCATAACGTTTTTAACAAAATGCTCTTTGGGAATATTGAGATTCTTCTTTCCTAAAATATTTTCTTTCAGAACTCTTGCCGAAAGACCCAAAAGTGTTCTTTTAAGGACTATGTACACGGTGTTTCCATAAACTTTTATGAGCCTACAATTCTAAATGCAATGCAGAAAATGTAAATCTATTGTATCTCTATATTCTATAAACTAAACCGATTTAACTCCCTTGAAAATTAAACTTCAAAATAAAACAAGAATTTTTTGTTATTAATATATTGATACTGTTGTTTGTTGTTTTGTTACGTGTTTAAACAGCAATTACCATTTTCGATGCATGAGACACCAACATCCTCCGAGTGATCACAGTCATGGGTTTCGTATCCACTCCTTCGACAATGGCCTATGTTTGGTTCTGTACCCTCGCATTCCACTTCATCCAGAACAATAGGTCCAGATCCTAGTCCAAAGGCAGCGCAACAGGAGAAGTTCTCCGCCCGTTCGTAGCCGAGCATTTTGCAAACCACGTTGGCGTCATTTAGGTCCCAGTTGTCATCACACACTGTCCCCCAAGTACCAAGGTATAGAATCTCAACACGGCCTTCTTTGTCAGATCTTCCGCCGACCAAACGCACCCGGAGATCATCTGAAATCAAATGACAACAGTAGGGACGTTTAGATTTGCACGACAAGATCGTGGACCTCTACGTGTGACATCCTCTTTAGGCAATGTGACGTCTTAAAGGCACTGGCAGTGACCGGCAGATTGCCTTAAAAGGATGTCACACGTAGAGGTCCATGTTCTCGTCGTGTAAATCTAAAAGTCCCTAGTATCACGTTGCCGACGGAAGGTAGACTGGCGACGCTATTACTGCTATTAATATGGTCAATATTTCTTTAAAGAAGAAACCCAAAGAGACATTTTTAGGGGTAGATTCTTAACTCCTTACTTGCCAGATATTCTTACTAAAAGAACAGTTTCAACGTATTTTTCTCTACTTATTTTCTTATTTCCTTGATAATGATTGTTTAAACAAATATTATATTACAGAAGCTTAGGGTTCTATAATGGGTATGGTAAGGGATCAGTAAATGTAATATTCACAATTTAAAGGTAAAAGGTCTTATTGCTTTTGTTTCTCATTGTTTGCATGTCAAATAAAGTATTCAAATGCGAGCCAAATTGCGTCCCAGGAGGGTCGATGGTAGATGAGAGGCAAATGAGGGATTTTGGGCATGGGGATTGCCAGTGTTGGTTGGATTAAGTACCGAAGCTGTGACATCATAACCCATGGGAACTCAATGTAATATTGCTCTGGCTCATAACATTACGTGCCAGAGCAATATAACACTATAGTAAATCTATTTATTATGGTGTCATATGTCAGCCAATACTTAACATATTCAATTGCTTTACGACGGATGGGCATTGTTTTTTATGCTCTTTCAAAAAATGAAGAAAAAAAATTGAGAAATTCAAAAAATTAATTGTTTGATGACGTCACCGCTCTATTTGGAGGCTCCGTGCTTCAGTCAAACACAAATTGGGAAGGAATCAACTATTCGAACAAAAGCTTAATAAACAAAATTCCAAATGTTGTTCTTTGAATATTATTCAATATCATGAAGACGAGAGATATATTTATTCTATAGCTGGTATGTAAAACATTTTATTTTTTTTACTAAAGGCCCTTTTACACTTTCACGGATCGCATCACGGATCATCCCGGATCGTCGCTCCGGGATCATCCGTGTTATCTCCGGCATTACCGTGTATACACCGGGGAGGCATCCGGCGTGATCCTTGGCGTACCGGCATATCCGGGGAAATAATTAAGCTCGCTTTATTTTTTATCCCGGAGTTCACGGATGAAACAATCCGTTCTCTTCCCTGTGGGCACCGTGTACCTCCGTGTAGCCGCCGAATACATCCGGGACAGTCCGTGTAGACACCGGGAGGTCCGTATTAACACCAGTTTCATCCGGGTTTAAAATTCCGTATATCAAATGAGCGCCTACAAGCTCAAGTCACCCGTCAACATTCCGGAGATATCCCAATAGACAACGTACACCTCCGTGTAAGGACCGTAAAAGTACCCAGTAGCCTCCGTGCTCTTCCTTGAAATCCGTATTAGCTCCGTATGCGTTTTCGGCGTGGTCCGCGTTGCTACCTTGTCTGTCCGTGGAGACACCGTACTTGCCCGTGTATACACCCAGTTCGGAACGTATCCACACCGGAATCGAGAAGAAATCGTGGTGTCGCACGCCGGAACACCCCGGATTAAGATCCGGGATGATCCGTGATGCGATCCGTGAAAGTGTAAAAGGGCCTTAAGTAACAGTCACTGTGTGAACAACAAGGAGAGAATGTTAATGTATTCTATTTTGTTTAAGTTAAAGAAAGACTTCATTTCATTGCATTGTAAAATGTTTTGTTTGACTCGATAAAATAGCCTATGGAGGGCTAAAACATTTTTTTTTTTTTAAGTTTTGAAAACCGAGTACTGCCTGCAAATGCTCACAAAACAGCGGATATCGCACAGTGAATATAGTGCCCTCATCGTTCAGTGCGTGGTAGAAATGGGGGGAAATCTTCTCGAGTCAACCTGCTGTTCGTAAATATTTAAAAAAAGTATCGTTTTATATATATTTGTTTGATATATTTGCAACGTTTCTTTACATGTCCCATTCTTCATAGATTTTGAAGATAACTGACCTACAGTATTATTTCCCCCTAAAATCTTTGTTGACAGTAGGTTGACTTTGAAAGATTTTTCCAATGTATTTTTAACACAATGCCTACACGCTTTGATTTTTACTGATCGTTATAAGCTGTTTTCCAAATATTTGCCCGTACTCCGTTTTCCAAAGTTGTGTCTGACTGTGCTTGGTCGAACGAGTACTCGGGACTGAGACTAGGATCCATCACTTGGAACCTTTGTGAGTCACAAAAGCTCCTAGTGACGGAGTGCTTAAATTGACTGGGACTTGCGCTGCACCGAAGCACATGCTTAAAACTCGACCTCCATATATTGAAGATCGTAAAGCTTTCTTGGCATAATATTAATGCTTGGATTTACGCATCAATCCCGCCATTAAGAGGTCTTGGGATGGTGTGAACACCGGTCACCGTTGAATTAAACGCAATTGGAGAGGGCCGTTGTTGTACGTAGGGAAATGGGTCCTTTCATGCTTCTCTTTTTCTTTGTTTCTTTCTATTGTATGTTGCTTTCCCTACTCGAGCACGAGCATTTTTACCCTTTGTTCGCCATACATACATGTAAGGGTGGCATGTGACCCCTTGTCCCCTTTCACATACGCCACCAATAACAAGATGGCATACCATGAGACATCCTCGCGAAATTCTTGATTTTTTAATATGGTTTAATTCTTACCCGGTTTTAAGCATGATACTCCGACATCTAATGTATGCCCACTGCAAAAATAAGGGTAGCCCAGATCAAGAAATCGATCACACTCAAGAAGACTCGATTCTTTTCCAGAGCATCTCGGACGATATAGTATCACTTCCCCTGTCCCACGTCCGTATAATGAGTCGGATGAATATGCTATAGCCCCGATGAATCCTAACATTCTGCAGACCACTTCCGAGTCATATGAGGTCCATCCGTAGCTGCAGACAGTACCCCATGATCCGAAGTAGAACAACTCAACACGACCTTGGCTCTCATCCGGACCGCCTACAAGGCGAACCTTGAGTTCAGCTGCAAGTAGAAATCACAAAAATGAATTTCAATGTTTAAATGTATTTAAACAATATTATTATATTTTAAAAAATCGAAAAAATAAATTAAACCAAGCCATGTGACAGATATGGCTTGAAACAATAATTTGGCCATTTTTTTTCTTTTCTTCACAATGGCAGATCGCACGCCCTGCTAACATGAATCGGGTCTTTAGAACATAGCAAGGACTTTAATCGTTCACGCAGTCAGTCGGCGACGTATTAGGTCAGCACAAGTTTCTTCTTTCATTCGAGTTGTATGCATGAACTGTGTAGTCTCTGAATGTGGCCCAGAACACCTTTTCCTTTGTTTGGGGAATTTTTTATATAATAGCCTAGCTGCACTACATAAAATCTGTATCAAACCAAGGAGATTCTACAAACTGGGAGTTTATTGTATATTGGTGCAGTTGCCTTCTTTTGGCAAGTGTTTTATCTGGGTTTTCCACATTTAACTAACTGTTAACTGTAAAACTAAATTTGTTAACGTTTGCAATATGATCTGGGCTGTATAAAAGCATTGAGAGAACAAAAAGTGAGCCATAATATTTGGATGATGATATCAAGTAATAATAACCGTATCCGGACACCTACCCCTAGACATCCACTCCGGATAACCCCCCCCCCCCCCCCCAGTAAACTACCCCCTAGGACAACTACCCCCTAGGGCAACCACCATCTAGGACGAATACCCCCCCCCCCAGGACAACTACCCCCGGACAACTACCCCTAGACATCCACTCCGGATAACCACCCCCAGTAAACTACCCCCTAGGACAACTACCCCCTAGGGCAACCACCATCTAGGACGAATACCCCCCCCCCCCCAGGACAACTACCCCCGGACAACTACACCCCAGACAACTACCCCCATATATAGTTCTACCGGGGGTAGTTTTCCTAGAGGATGGTTGTCGTAGGGGTAGTGGACTGGGGGTGGGGTAGCTGTCCGGGGGTAGTTGTCCGGGGTAGTTGTCCCGGGGGTATTTGTCCTAGAGGGTGGTTGCCCTAGAGGGTACTTGTCTTAGGGGATAGTTGACTTGGGTGGTTATCCGTGGGTGGATGTCCAGGGGGTAGGTGTCCTAGAACCAATAATAATACGTGAAATAAAACCTTCTTGGAAGAAAATGATAAACTTCGTGCTTTGAAGTACAATAACATGATTCATAAATGTATTTGCTTCAGGATAGGCCGCCTTTAATACAGGAAAATATTGAAATGCACGTCTTTACTTTTAAGAAAATACTTTTTTCATTTTTTTTTTGTAGTGATAGCATTACATTTTCGAAGATTGCAAATTTACCTACTCCGATGCATATAACTCCAACGTCTTCAGAATGCTCGCAGTTATGTATCTCATAGGAGCCATGTGTGCATTGTGCGATGTGCGTTTCTGACCCTTCACATCCGACGTTGTCGAGGATGATATTACCAGTGCCTTCTCCGAAACTCACCATTGCAGAAGAGACTCCAGGGTAACCTAGCATTCGACAAACGACGGTAGCGTCTTTGATATCCCAAGAGTCATTACAGATTGTACCCCATGATCCTTGGTAGTTCACCTCGACTCGCCCTTCATTGGCTGAAGCCCCGTCAGCAAGACGCATGGAAACTGATACAAAGGAAATAATTTTGTATATTGTAGTCTGAATGTATGCCAGATTGATAAGAAATCGGTTTAGAAAATACCCCACATTAAAAAGAGAAAAAAAATCTTGGCAGACTAGTAGTTCAAAAGAAAGCAGAACAATTAAAGAAACATATATGTGAAAGTTTTAATGTAATCAAACAATCAAGAAAATTATATTTTGGTTCAAATTCTAATAGGCACTTCATATTAGTTGAATAGGTAATGTCACTGTGACCAGGGGCGTTTCTAGACCTTTTTAAGTAGGGGGGGGGGGGTGTAGAGGCCAACGATTACCGACAAAACTAGCCACCAATTACCGACAAAATTAAATGTCCAATATTTACAAATTCAACCCAATAAACCTGGGGCCGAAGGCTAAATTGTTTTTCCTATGGGACTATCTATAGTACTTGCATATGCGCAAAATGGGTTTTTTCCTCGACGACATAATATACGAATTATTTCTTCAATTTAGTCAGCATCATAGCTATATATTTTAATGCAGGCGCGGAGCTAGGATCTTATTATAGGGAAGGGCGGTAGTGGGCAAGAGAATCACTTAAAAGCGCGCTCATTAGGGGGGGGTGTAGTGATAGGCCTCCCGCGCAAAGCGCGGAAGTTTAGACGTTCTTTAAATTATTAGGAAAAGAAGACGATTAATTGTATCGTTTTCGACTGGTAATCCTTGGCTGAATGAAGTTCCCCCCCCCCCCCCTCCCGCGCGAAGCGCGAAAGCTTTTACGTTTCATTAAATTATGAGAAAAAGCAGACGATTCGGTGTGCTGTTCTCTACTCTTAATCCTTAAAGCTCCCCCCTCCCGCGCGAAGTTGTACCGTTTTCGACTCTAAGTAAGCCCTATTAATTTTGTCTGAATTCAGTTTCCCCCTCTTGCGCGAAGCGCGGAAGCTTTGACGTTTCCATAAATAATTAGAGAAAGAACACGATTCGTTGTACCGTTTTCGACTCTAAATAAGCCCTATTAATTTTGTCTGAATTCAGTTTCCTCCTCTCGCGCAAAGCGCGGAAGCTTTGACATTTCCTAAAATTATTAGAGAAAGAAGACGATTCGTCGTACAGTTCTCGACTCGTCTGAATGAAGTTTTCCCATTCCGCGCAAAGCGCGAAACCTTTGACATTTCCTTAAATTATTAGAGAAAGAACACGATTCGTTGTACCGTTTTCGACTTATAATAAGCACTATTTGTCTGAATTCAGTTTCCCACTCTCGCCGAAGCGCGAAAGCTTTGAAGTTTCCTTAAATTATTAGAGAAAAAAGACGATTCATCGTACCGTTTTTCGACTCTAAATAAGCCCTCTTAATTTTGTCTGAATTTAGTTTCCCTCTCTCGCGCGAAGCGCGGAAGCTTTGACGTTTCCTTGAATTATTAGAGAAAGAACACGATTCGTTGTACCGTTTTCGACTTTTAAGAAGCCCTATTTGTCTGAATTCAGTTTCCCACTCTCGCGCGAAGCGCGGAAGCTTTGACGTTTCCTTAAATTATTAGAGAAAGAACACGATTCGTTGTACCGTTTTGGACTCTAAATAAGCCCTATTAATTTTGTCTGAATTCAATTTCCTCATCTCGCGCAAAGCGCGGAATTTTTGACGTTTCCTTCAATTGTTAGAGAAAGAAGACGATTCGTCGTACCGTTCTCGACTCGTCTAATTGAAGCTTTCCCCTTCCGCGCGAAAGCTTTGACGTTTCCTCAAATTATTAGAGAAAGAACACGATTCGTTGTACCGTTTTCGACTTTTAATAAGCACTATTTGTCTGAATTCAGTCTCCCACTCTCGCCGAAGCGCGAAAGCTTTGAAGTTTCCTTAAATTATTAGAGAAAAAAGACGATTCGTCGTACCGTTTCTCGACTCGTCTAAATGAAGTTTTCCCCTTCCGCGCGAAGCGCAGAATTTTTGGCGTTTCATCACAGTATAGAGAAAGGAAGACGATTCCTCGTACCGTTTTCGAATCTTATTTAGCCCTATTCATCTGAATTCAGTTTCCCCCTCTCGCGCGAAGCGCGAAAGCTTTAACGTTCCTCAAAATATTAGAGAAAGAACACGATTCGTTGTACCGTTTTCTACTTTTAATATGCCCTATTATTTTGTCTGAATTTAGTTTCCCACTCTCGCGCGAAGCGTGGAAGCTTTGACGTTTCCTTAAATTATTAGAGAAAGAACAAGATTCGTTGTACCGTTTTCGACTCTACATAAGCCCTATTAATTTTGTCTGAATTCAGTTTCCTCCTCTCGCGCGAAGCGCGGAAGCTTTGACGTTTCCTTAAATTATTAGAGAAAGAAGACGATTCGTCGTACCGTTCTCGACTCGTCTAAATAAAGTTTTCCCCTTCCGTACAAAGCGCGAAAGCTTTGACGTTTCCTCAAATTATTAGAGAAAGAAGACGATTCGTTGTACCGTTCTCGACTCGTCTAAATGAAGTTTCCCCTTTCGCGCAAAGCGCGGAATTTTTGGCGTTTCATCACGATATAAAGAAAGGAAGACGATTCGTCGTACCGTTGTTGACTCTTAAACCTTGTTTGAATTTAGTTTCCCCGAAAATTTTAAACCTCTGATTTCTTTAGCTGATAATAATAATAATAATAAATTTAATTTATATAGCGCTAAATACAAATGTCTCTAAGCGCTTTACAAATATATTATTACCCCGGTCATTGGATTCAGTGCTTACCCGCACACAATGTGTGCACAATCTCCACTCCCTGGGGAGCATTCCAGCCAGGCGTTACATGACGCTCAAAAACTGTTTGACCAACAATGACGGTCGCATCCTACCGGGTACCCATTTAACACCTGGGTGGAGAGTAGCAAGTGCAGGTTAATATCTTGCCAAAGGATATTAGTGCGTCCCAGAAAAAACGAAACCGAGAAGTATCGATGTTCTATCATAACTTAATCACAACTATAATTAATGAATGATACATATTTGGAAAGCTTAGAGTCTCCTCTTTCATGTGATGCTACTCAGATGATGCATATTTCACGCATGAGTGATTAAAAGCAATTTGAAGGAAGGAAACCAAAAAGACATTTGGCGGGCGGTATCTGAATTTCGAAGAAAAATTCACATTTCTAGAAAGTTGAGTTTCTGCCCTTTCATATGACACCTCAATCAGGAAAAATGAGCGAGGAATGACAAAGTTCTGTTTGTTTAAAGTAGTGCTTGCATTTCCATAATTTTATTAAACGAATTCGTTTTCACTGGCTGCCTGCCGTATCAATAAACGAAATTAACAAAAGACTTAACTCCGTTTCGTTGACAATCAGCCGTAGACGAGAGTCTTCACGCATGGCTGATTGTCAACGAAACGGAGTTAAGTCTTTTGTCAAATCTGTATATACCTGCTCTCTCCGAAGATTAGGGTACTCTTTTAATGTAGAAATATGCATCATGCGTATCGACGATGTTCACCTTCGCTAACCATTATTACACCTGCGTTTGACGCATTTGTTTTTGTGTCATTTTTGTATTCATCGTGTTTATCTGACTCCGTCATATTTCAAGATTCAGAAATTAATGTATTAAGTTTAATTTATTATTGTGCGAACCTACACCTAACAAGCATTGCTTCCAAGTAAATTCGTTTTCCATATCTGTAACTAAATAATTCTGCATTACAAGCCTTTAACAAAAATGTCAAAGATATTTCAATGCTATTTTCTTCGTTATATCATAACGTTTATATTGTGCTTATCTTGTCATTGAATATATTAAAATAAAATAAATTCGCTGTGTATAGAGTGACTACTACTAGGGTGATCACACTGCCTGTGCAAACAGTCTGCCCCGCGAACAAACACACACACACACAACAGCAGTCAGTTGGTAAATGTATTTTTTTTTTTAAACTAAACAATATTTTAAAATGATTATTTCACATATATTTCAAGCATACCTTAAACTACAAATCTGTGTAGTTTCATTGTTATAGGCATGTGGAAAATATGTTAATTATTGAATTAGAATATTGTATTTTCAGCCATGTGTGACATCGCCCATTGACTCGCGCTGCTATTCTGCGTGGTGAAAATAATGCACCTCAATGTATAAAACTCCCCAACAAAAATGCAATATCCTCATGTGTTTCACTCATTAAATCAATTTGTTATTTACACTCAAGGTAGCCACAACTGTACTCAGATCGTCGAACTTTGTTTCTCTCTGAAATTCAGTCTTTGTGGAATGTTGTGGCCAGTTGAATGGTTTCTCGGAAAATTGTCATAAATCCTCAAATCTGACATTTTTTTAAAAAGAAAAATATACTGTGATGTAGCTGAAAGTCTACAAATTCTTATCATATGATCATTTGTTTCTGAATAATTTGTGAAACACATGAGGAAATAGCTGTGACGGTGATCCAAGTAATTTCCATCGCCATATTGTATTGGCATTGCAAAAATATTAGGAAATTAAGGTCAATATTTGGTGTAAATATGATCTATGAATATATGATTTAAAAAATGCCCCCAAAATAAACAGTTTGACTTTCCTAATTTGCATAATGAGTGCGCGAATATATAATTAGCTGAATTGACCTAATTTTCATATTTAATGAATATTCATGATTTTATTTTATTTCAAATGAAATATATTTCCATACCTGTCTGATATACATAGGTTTCACTGATGTATCATGTTCGGTTTGTTTGATTTGATTACATATGCGCATATTAATTAGGCGGACTTAGTTATTTTCACAACTTTTTATATCTGCAGATTCGCAAAAGTGGCAAAAATGACTTATTTTGTTGGTTTCTGTTTTCAAAACGGTAATAGATATATGAATTGTATTTTTTGGGGTACTTTTTTGTATTTTTTACCACAAAGATGATATTTTAGTGTCTGATAATTTAATTTATTATTTGTGTCCAAGAAAGTGATGAATTAAGTTGTCAACTTAATATGAATTGTATTTTTTGGGGTACTTTTTTGTATTTTTTACCACAAAGATGATATTT